GGCATCGCTGAGCCATTGAGAAACTATTCCTAACAAAACTTAGGCCGCGTTGAACTCTTGAAAAAATATTCTTTAAAATGAAGATATTCTTGAAAATTCTTAAGAAACTACACACCTTGTTGAGGTCATGTAAATGCTATTTCATTTCGATTGACCTTTCATAAATTCCCTACTCACGCCATGTATATCCTGAAAAAAATATTCTTCAAGAAACCCACGCCTTGAATCAACAGAGACATCCTTATTCTGTTAATTGAATTTTATAGGGCATATATGAGAGATCGATTGAAAGATTTCTTTAAACAAATCCAAGCCTTTATTAGTAGGGCATATATGAGAGATTGATTGAAAGAATTCTTTAAAGAAAATCCACGCCTTGTTGAGTAGGGCATATATTAGAGGTCGATTGAAATAATTCTTCAAAAAATCCATGCCTTGATGAGTAGGGCATATATTAGAGGTCGATTGAAATAATTCTTCAAAAAATCCATGCCTTGATGAGTAGGGCATATATTGGAGATCAATTGAAATAATTCTTTAAAAAAATCCACGTCTTGATGAGTAGGGCATATATTAGAGATCGATTGAAATAATTCTTTAAAAAATCCACGCCTGGAATCGATTAAAAGAATTCTGTAAAAAATCAACTCCTTGTAGGGCATATATTAGAGATAGATTGAAATAATTCTTTAAATATCAACGCCTTGTTTAGTAGGACATATATGAGAGATCGATTGAAATAATTCTTTAAAAAATCCATGCCATCATGAGTAGAGTATATGAGAGATCGATTGAAATAATTCTTTAAAAAATTTACGCCTTGTTTAGTAGGCCATATATGAGAGATCGATCGAAAGAATTATTTAAAAAAATCGACGCCTTGATTAGTAGGGCATAAAAAAATCTTTAAAAAATCCATGACTTGTTCGATTAAAACTGTATCAAATTACATGTATTTCAGACAATTGCCGTTTCTTCCGATCACAGTGTGGTAGCTGAAGCACTATTTAGCGGCAATAGTTTGATCTAAAATGTAATTTAATGAGATTTGTAATTTAATGAGAGATCACCTTGTTGAGCCCTTGAATAAATATTCTTTAACGAAATCAACGCATCAGTAGCCCTAAAAAATTCCGATTTTGATTCGTGGGAATAAATTAGTATTTTTTTAATTTTATTATTGTCGCTCCGGGACATTTTTAATCACTAGTTTCATCCACTACATTAATGAAATTATCGTTCCTGTTACTGTTATCTGTCGATATATTCAGGACACGGCTTGCAGATCCAGAATATGGTGCATCCACTGCCGACCTCCTACAATCGGCTTCAAAGGTCATTTCAAGGAATGTTGGCTTATTAGAATCGGCTGCCATTGTATTCCCAATGAGGCGTGTGGAGTGTATGCTACTCTCATTGGGTCCTTCAGGAAATATTGGCGGCTTGTCATCACCATCATCATTGAAACTCTCCACATCAATAAAATCTTCATCCTTTGTGGGAATTTCTGTAGGCTCCATTTTTCTTTCTCCTAAAGATTTTTCTTTTGTGTCATTGGCTTCCAATGCAAGGTGTGCGGGATTTTTCCAAAATAATTTATTCGATGAGTAGTTTGGGATACCAGAGGAATTAAATTCAATTTTCTTTGCGCCATCTGTAATGCGATTCTGAGGGGTATAATTAAACATATCTCCAGGTTTCGTGTCGATGATAGTCGAGGTTGAAGAAGCTTTCCATAGAGGCAAACTAGATACGGCAATGTTTGAAAAGGCTCCAAGGTGGGAAGGAATTAGATTTGGATCATGAATAGCATTTAATGAATTTGAAGTCATGGAACTGCATAGATTCTTCCGATCCACCTCTCTGCCACAATTTTTCGCCATTGTTCGTTTGTTACCATTTCCGGTAAATTCCGCACAAGTCATACGTTTGCGAATGCCACCGTTAAACAAAGCCTTGACATCTTCCCACATATTTTGCAACTCTCCTGATGGATTTCCGCTTAACAAAAGATGTCGCCTCCAACAATTCAAATTTGTTGCCACAGGTTGAACATGTTCCAGGTGCTGATCTCCTGCAGCATTCACCCTTACATGTGAATGAAATATGAATTTATTTGGCGAAAAGAAATCTTTACAATATTCACATTTTATACACTTTGCCCTTGACGAATTATAGCGGATCGGTATAAATTGACCCCTACAGCCGCGAGAACAATTATGATAGACGGCAAAGGTGAAATTATCAGGTAATCATGGTGGATTATTATCTCCTATGAAACTTTTACATAGGCGTTCCGCTTCACGTCTGGTGATCATACCACAACGTCTTGATGTAATGGGCATTGCACCGGCACGACGTAGCATCTCTAGCTGAATTGGTGTACACTGGACACATGATATACCCAAGGCAACACGACGATTGTGTATCTCATTATAGGTGAATTTTTTCAAAAGCATATTTGAAATTTGTGCCAGACACAAAAGTTCGAGACCTTCGCAGTAGAGCGATATAATGGGTACGCCATACATTTGCACTGTTCGGACCTGTATTAAGGGAAAAAGTTTTATAAGGAATATATATTTTATTTTTATGGATCGTAAACCGTTTTATTAGGAGAACAAAGCTTTTTTCGTTGAGAGTTGTCGGTCAATCAAGGCGAAAATTTTTCCAACGACTCGCCAAAAAACAATTTTTTAAGAATATTTGTTGAATGACTAACCGAAACGTGAGTAGGTGATTTATGGGAGATTGATCGAAGTCACACAAAATTACTTCATAGCTCAGAAAATTGCCGCTAAATGGCGCTGCTCATGTTATGTAGCGTAGATACAAACCACCAGTGGTAAATTGTAGTAACCACCCTATAATCGATGTTAGTCCGAGATTTATTGACGAATATTACTTCCTAGCGTGGATTTATTAAAGAATATTTTTCCAGGGCCAACTGAGGCGTGGATTTATTAAAGAATATTTTTCAAGGGCCAACTGAGGCGTGGATTTATTAAAGAATATTTTTAAAATCTAACTGAGGCGTGGATTTATTAAAGAATATTTTTCCACAATCTATACAAGGCGAGGATCTATTTAAGAATATTTTTCCACAATCTATACAAGGCGAGGATCTATTTAAGAATATTTTTCCACAATCTATACAAGGCGATGATCTATTTAAGAATATTTTTCCACAATCTATACAATGCGATGCCATGTATTTTAAAATGATTTCAATCGATCTCTCATATATGCCGTACTCATAAAGGCGTGGGTTGTTTAAAAAATGCTTTCAATTGATTTCTCATATATCCCGTACTGATAAAGACATGGGTTGTTTTAAGAATTCTTTCAATTTAAAGAATTCTATCAATCTATCTCTCATATATGCCCTACTTATCAAAGCTTGGATTTTTTAAAGAATTCTATCATCTATCTCTCATATATGCCCTACTTGTCAAGGCTTGGATTTTTTAAAGGATTATTTTAATTGAATTCTCATATTTTTTAAAGAATTTTTTTAATCGATATCTCATATATGCCCAGTTAATCAAGGACTGGCTCTTTTAAAGAATTATTTCAATTGATCTACATATTACGGCATGATTTTTTTAACGAATTTTTACAAGCGATCACTCATATATGTCCTACTCATCAAGGCGTAGATTTTTTTAAAGAAGTCTTTCAATCGATCTGGCATATATGTTCTACTATTCAAGGCGTGGATTTTTAAAGAATTCTTTCACACGATCTCTCATATATGCCCTACTCATAAAGGCGTGGGTTTTTTGCCCTACTTATCAAGGCTTGGATTTTTGTAAAGAATTCTTCATCTCTCATATATGCCCTACTCATAAAGACGTGGGTTTTTTTGCCCTACTTATCAAGGCTTGGATTTTTGTAAAGAATTCTTCATCTCTCATATATGCCCTACTCATCAAGGCTTGGATTTTTGTAAAGAATTCTTCAAGCGATCTCTCATATATACCCTTCTTATTAAGGCAGAAAAGTTTTTGATGTGCCTAACATGGCGTGAATAGGGAATTTATGAGAGATCGACCAAAATATTATTAATCTTAATTAATGGGGTTGCTATACATGAACCATATTTTCATAGAATCTATACAAGGCGTGGATTTACTGAAGAATTTTTTAGAATATAGATGGCGTGAGTAGATAATTTATGAGAGATCCATCATTTACAAGACCTCAATAAAGCGTGGACTTTCTGAAGAATTTTCAAGACTTGAAAAGGGCGTGTTTTTTTCAAGAGGTCAACTAGGCCAATTTTTATTAATGGCTCAACGATGTTTTTTTTAGGAATATTTTTTCAAATATTCTTTACTGTGTGGAATTTTTTAAGAATATTGTTTCAAAAGAATCGGATTTTTGATAGATCGATCGAAACTACATTAAATTTAATTAATAGGATTGCAAATAGATGTCCCTGTTCATGTTCGTAGCGTAGACATGAATCATAAGCGGTAAATGGCAGTTACCACCCTGTAGTCGATAGTGAAGGCAATTGTCTGAACTACCTTGTAATTTAATACAATTTCCATCGATCTCTCATAAGTCCCCTACTTACGCCTTCTTGATTTCAAGCGAAGGTGCGATTTTTGTTAAAAATACATTTTTGATAGATTTTTGGAATTGAGAGATTGTTTATATTAAATGAGTAATGACATTATTGTGATTTTCTACTGTTGTTATTGCTAAAATATATTAAGAACTATCCATATGTGTATGTACATATGCAAGTAAATATTTGAGTGTGTAAATAGTATAAATAACTATGCATTTGGCTGTGTGTCATGTATTTATGTAATTTACTAGGATAATGTGATGATGATAAAGGATAACAAACTAATATTGAAAGATAGAAAGAGAAAGAGCAATATTTTACACATACAAATCTAGGAAAATTAAATACAATTTTTTGGTTGTTCTGTTTTTCGAATTCAAATAGAGAGAAAGAGAAGAGATAGAGTGTGAGGGGGAGATACCTTCTGATAGACAGAATACAATGATGGCAGGACATGGTAGCTCCATGTCTGTTGTGCACCCTGATTTTGAGTAGTGCTTTTGGTTGTGGTGCTCGTTGAGGTTGTGATGAGAGAAGAGGTGCCATGTTGTTGTTGCTGTTGTGAATTGGGTTGTGTATCACCCACATATGATTTCAATTGATTTTGACTATTTTCATTATAGAATTTATGATTGTTGTTGTTATTATAGTTGTTGTTATTGGATGATGTCTTTAAAGCTGTTTGCGATGATATTTGTAGTGATTTTCTATTCCTATGATATCCTAAGAGATTGTTAGACGATAACAGCGAAGTGGAAGCTGCTGCAGCATTGCTAAATGATTTCTGTTTGGACTAAAAGGACGAAAACAAAATTTGAAAAAAACGAAAAGGAGAAAAATACAACAGGTGAGGGAACACGGCACGCGTTTTTTTTACACACACGTTTACAGGCAGACACGCATAACCGGTGGAATTTTTTTTTAATTCAGATTTTTTATTTTCATTTTTATATTTAAGGAATAAAATAAAAAAAAGATAAACAGACACGTAAATCACATCAAATGAGATTTTTTGTTTTTACAAAATGGTTTAGGAAATATTTATAGAGAAAAGTCATTTTTTATAAATTGTGAGGGTCAATGTTTTTATATATATAATAAATATACATATAATCAGAAAATAAAAAAAAACATATTTTATATATAAAATAAAAAAAATAATATCATCCCAAACATTAGATTTTGCACAATAGATTTTTCTTTGAAATAAAATAAAAATTAGAAACTTCATAAAATGCAAACAAAAATTTAAAATCGGAAGTATTTTTTTTTTGGTTAAAATTAGTTTTTATTTTTGTTAGTAGAAAATTATTTTCTTATATATTTTTTTAGAAATCATTTTTTTTAATTTCATTTTAGTGTGTTAGTAGTGTAATTGTTAGGAATTTCATTTCATATTATAATTTTGTCTATGTGTGTAATACCCACTTACCTTGCTATTGTATGTGTAGTAGTTAAAGGTTTTCAAATATGTACCCAGCGATAAAATATTACATTGGGGACACAGATCTGCTGTACGCCGCTGCATCATTTCCAGCAGATACAGGAAATCCTCGGCCACATAGTGGTCCTCTTCGAGGAATAGCACCAGTCCTAAAAATATAACAAAATACATTTTAAAAACAAAATATAATTATAAGGACCAAAAGAACACAAGAGAATTGATTTTTAAAGAACAAAGCGAGAGTAGGTGTTTTATGAGCGATCGATCAAAATCGTATCAAAGTAGTTCTGACAACTAGGCGCTGCTCATGTCTGTAGCGTTGCCATAAACCATATGTGGTGAATTTCTGTTATCACCCTGTAATCGATAGCAAAGGTAATTACCTGTCATAAATTCCCTACTATCGAGCCCATACAAGGCGTGTATTTTTAAAAGAATATTTTTTCAGAGCCTATACAAGGCGTGCATTTGTTAAAGAATATTTTTTTTTGAATCTATACAAGGCGTGGATCTTTTAAAGAATATTTTTTTCAGAACTTATACAAGGCGTGGATCTTTAAAGGAATATTTTTTCAAGGCCTCATCAGGCGTAGATCTTTTAAGGAATATTTTTTGAAGGCCTCATCAGGCGTAGATCTTTTAAGGAATATTTTTCAAGGCCTCATCAGGCGTAGATCTTTTAAGGAATATTTTTTCAAGGCTGTAATTCATTATTGATCATTCGTGTCTAGGCTACAAGCATGATCAGGGAGGCATTTAGCGGCAATTATCTGAATTACAACAGAATTTGATACAATTTTGATCGTTGTCCCATAAATCTCCTACTCACTTTGAATAATATTGTTGTAAAGCATTCACTCCTTAAAAATTATATATACAATTATAAATATAAATCCCCAATTTGAAATTTAACTCACCTGTATGATATTTTGTGACTTCCAGCTGATCGAATACCCGATTCGCCTTCCACCACCAGTGGTGTTTGGTCTGGGTAAATTTGGCCTCCCGATAATGGCCATATAAGTCTGGATACAAGGCATTGTTGCATTTTCGAATGATTGCTCTGTGGATAGAGAGAAAATAAAAATTTGAAACACATTGAATCATTTCCAGGGAAACTTCGGGAAAAATAAAACAATTTAATGAAAATATGTCATACTTACTGATCTTTTTTAATATCACGCGGACAATCATCCGGATCAACGCCAGGAAATTCATTTGGATGTGTTTGTATTGAATATGGATAAAATATCTGCATGAAGAAGTTGAAAATGTGATTTTGAAAATTTCGGTATGTATGTAGGTGGTTGATATTTTTACTCACTTGCATAACTTTACAAAAGTCTATACTCTGGACTAAATCGTTAATATCTTCATCATAAAAATCATGTGAAAATATTAATAGAACTCTAGAAATATCACGAGCCTGTGCCAGGCTCACGATCAAATGGCGTAGGTATATAATACGAGTGTGTACCTTAAAGAGAGCAGAGAGAGAGAAAGAAACAATTATTATATATGGTGTATAAGAACGGAGGAATATCAAAGCTATAAATAACATTTTCTTTAAAATAAAAAAGGGTTTGGTAGGGTTATTATGAGAAATCGATCAAAATCGCATTAAATTGCATCGTAGTTCAGATAATTGCCGCTAAATGGTGCTGTAAGTGATAGTAGGGTAGACATGAACCATCAGTGGTGAGTTGTAGGTACCATCCTGTTATCGTTAGAAAAGCAAATTCTCTGAAGTACCATGTAATTTAATACGATTTTTAATCGAGCTCTCGCAAATGCTCTACAAGGCGTATATTATTTAAAGAGTATATTTTCAGGGGCTCAACAAGGCGTAGATTATTTACAGAGTATATTTTCAGGGGCTCAACAAGGCGTAGATTATTTAAAGAGTCAATTTTCAGGGGCTCAACAAGGCGTAGGTTATTTAAAGAGTCAATTTTCAGGGGCTCAACAAGGCGTAGATTATTTAAAGAGTATATTTTCAGGGGCTCAACAAGGCGTAGATTATTTAAAGAGTATATTTTCAGGGGCTCAACAAGGCGTAGATTATTTAAAGAGTATATTTTCAGGGGCTCAACAAGGCGTAGATTATTTAAAGAGTATATTTTCAGGGGCTCAACAAGGCGTAGATTATTTAAAGAGTATATTTTCAGGGGCTCAACAAGGCGAAGATTATTTAAAGAGTATATTTTCAGGGGCTCAACAAGGCGAAGATTATTTAAAGAGTATATTTTCAGGGGCTCAAGAAGGCGTAGATTATTTAATGAATATTTTTTAAGGACTCAACAAGGCGTAAATTATTTAAAGAATATTTTCAAGGGCTCAACAAGGCGTAAATTATTTAAAGAATATTTTCAAGGGCTCAACATGGCGTAAATTATTTAAAGAATATTTTCAAGGGCTCAACATGGCGTAAATTATTTAAAGAATACTTTTCAAGTATATTTTCAGGGGCTCAACAAGGCGAAGATTATTTAAAGAGTATATTTTCAGGGGCACAAGAAGGCGTAGATTATCTAAAAAGTATATTTTCAGGGGCTCAAGAAGGCGTTGATTATTTAATGAATATTTTTTAAGGACTCAATAAGGCGTAAATTATTTAAAGAATACTTTTCAAGGGCTCAACAAGGCCTAGATTATTTAAAGAATACTTTTCAAGGGCTCAACAAGGCCTAGATTATTTAAAGAATACTTTTCAAGGGCTCAACAAGGCCTAGATTATTGAATTCATATTTTTTTAAGGGCTCAACAAGGCCTAGATTATTGAATTCATATTTTATAAGGGCTCAACAAGGCGTAGATTATTTAAAGAATATTTTTCAAGGGCTAGATTATTGAATACATATTTTTAAGGGCTCAAGAAGGCATAGATTATTTAAAGAATACTTTTCAAGGGCTCAACAAGGCCTAGATTATTGAAATCATATTTTTTAAGGCTCAACAATGCCTAGTTTATTGATATCATATTTTTCAAGGGCTCAACAAGACGTAGATTATTTAAAGAGTACTTTTCATGGGCTCAACAAGGCCTAGATTATTGAAATAATATTTTTCAAGGGCTCAACAAGGCGTAGATTGAAATAATATTTTTCAAGGGTTCAACAAGACGTAGATTATTGAAATAATATTTATCAAGGGCTCAAAAAGTCTCGGATTTTTAAAGGACGATTTTAAAAAATAATTTGTCAAGGGCTAAACAAGTCTCGGATTTCAAAAAGGCGCAGATTATTGAAAAAATATTTGTTCAATATGTTTAAAAAGCTCAGATTTTGAAAGATTGCTTTTAAGGATGAAAAACAGCGTGAGTAGGAAATTTTTTCAATGTTTCAAATGGCTCATAAAAGCCTTGAATTCCTTATGTCTTGGATTTTTAAGTTGTCGACAAAGATTGCATTTTTCAATAATATTTTTTAATGACTAAACAAAGCGCGAGTAGGGAATTTATGAGAGATTGATTCAAAACATATTAAATTGTAGTGCAGAGTTCACTAGATGGTGCTGCATATATTTGTAGCGTAGACATGGACCATCAGATGTGAATTTGCAATTGTTACGCTGTAATCAACAGTAATGGCAATTTTCTGAACTACAATGTTATTTGATACGATTTTAATCCATCTCTCATAAATAATCTATCAGATAAGGTAGTGATTTTTTATAGAATATTTTTTAATGGTCTCTCTGATACGTATATTTTTGAAAGATTTTTTTTGATTACTTACTTGTATTACAATTATCACAGAATCATTTTGTAACGGACCAAAGGTGTATTCATTTAAAACTAACTGCATATCATTGTATTTGGCAATTTGTCGTTTTATTTCACTGATATTTGGTGGATGATATAAATCGACAAAACTAACGAGGTTACCACCAGCACCGCCCATACCTCCAGCACCCAGACCATTTATTAGTGTACCATTTTGGTGTACTGTAAAGAAGGTAAGGAAATAGAGGATAGGATTAACTTTTAGAATGATATAGTAAATTAAGTACGTATTTATTTCTGGACACTTTTCGAAATTATAAAAATAAAGAAAGTATAGCATAAACTTTTATGACCTCTTCTACCAAAATATCCTACTTTTTTTGTATGAAAATGTGTTTTTTTTTTGTATGAAAATGATGTATTCCTCTATTAAAAAGCGCGTGTATTGGGGGAGGATTCCTACTTGGGTATTATAAAGAAGTTCGACTGTGGGTTTTAATCCTAACATTTATGTTCTTCTCCTCCCTCAGATACTTACAACTAGCTGCTAAAGTTTGATTACGTGTTTTGGGTTGTAAGAATTTGTGCAACACCGATGGCACCATCGACAATATGGCATCCACAGAGTCATTTGTTGGTTCGGTTAGCAGGGGATCATGAGATTCAGCTGCAAACGGAAGAAGGGGGAAAATGCAATTTGGATTCGAACATTTAAATTTTTTTGCTTCTACTTACGAAAATTAAAAGCATGCAACTGCAGGAATAAAAATATAACTAGGGTTATCACAATAATGCCACGCAAATAATAAGTGTTGCGCTTGCGATGTAAGGTCCCCGTATTGGGCAAAGCCAATGGTATGCGACGACCTGGAAATTAAAAAAAATGTTACAATAATAACAAAAATATTGAAATATTAAGGCGAATTTGTTGTTGGCAACAAACCTCTCATGGTGTCTGTCTTTTGTGTGACTGTTGGCTTTGGAGTTTTGTTTTTGGTGGGGACCTCTCTAAATTTCCATTAGCATCATTTTATCTGTAAAGATATCAAAAAAAAAAAATTGGACAAGAAATATTTTATTTTTTGTATTGAGTTTTTTTTTGATAAGATAGTCAAAAAGTTATGTCAAAGATATTTCATAAATTAAACAAAGGTGAGACATAAAAATTCAATAATGTGACGGAAAATACAATATTTGGGACAAAAATCGATTTTTTTTAAATAGTGATTGAAGAGTTCGCCATACACTAGTCAATCTCACATATACGCAAAGGGGTTCATCGGCATGACGGCATGATTTATAGTGTATGGGGCCCTTAAGAATTGCATTTTGAGTCGTAAATTCAGTTGTTTTTTTATTCCGTCACAATTCTATTATTTTTGTACACAAAATTATTTACAGACAACTTTCAAAATGAATATTATTCACCAGATTGATAGGGTTTTCATTTACAAAATTAAAACTATTTTGATTTTCTTCATGCATTGTGTATGTCACACATACATAAATAAACTTTCAAAAAATAACACATACTATGATAAATGCTGTAAGGCATGATGTATAGTGTATGGGGCCCTTTATAGACTATTTTCCATTAAAGATATTTTTTCAAGGTTTCCACAAGGGTTTTATTTTTATTAAATATGTTTTTAAACCTTAAACAAAGAATGAGTAGGGGATATATGAGAGGTCGATTAAAATCGTATTAAATTATGTCAAAGTTCAAACAATCACCGCTAAAAGGCGCAGATCCTTTTTGCAGCATAGACACGACCCATTTGTGGTGAATTATGGTTATCACCCTGTAATTGATAGTAAAGGCAATTGACTGAACTACCATGTAATTTGATACGATTTTAATTTTTTAGGGTCTATACAGGGCGTGGATTTTTTAAAGATTCATTTTTCATGGTCTATACAGGGCGTGGATTTTTTAAAGATTAATTTTTCAGGGCCTAATCAAGGCGTGGATCTTTTAAAGATTAATTTTTCAGGGTCTATACAAGGCGTGGATTTTTTAAAGATTCATTTTTCAGGGTCTATACAAGGCGTGGATTTTTTAAAGATTCATTTTTCAGGGTCTATACAAGGCGTGGATTTTTTAAAGATTCATTTTTCAGGGTTTATCCAAGGCGTGGATTTTTTAAAGATTCATTTTTCAAGGTCTATACAAGGCGTGGATTTTTTAAAGATTCATTTTTCAAGGTCTATACAAGGCGTGGATTTTTTAAAGATTCATTTTTCAGGGTTTATACAAGGCGTGGATTTTTTAAAGATTCATTTTTCAGGGTTTATACAAGGCGTGGATTTTTTAAAGATTCATTTTTCAGGGTTTATACAAGGCGTGGATTTTTTAAAGATTCATTTTTCAGGGTTTATACAAGGCGTGGATTTTTTAAAGATTCATTTTTCAGGGTTTATACAAGGCGTGGATTTTTTAAAGATTCATTTTTCAGGGTTTATACAAGGCGTGGATTTTTTAAAGATTCATTTTTCAGGGTTTATACAAGGCGTGGATTTTTTAAAGATTCATTTTTCAGGGTTTATACAAGGCGTGGATTTTTTAAAGATTCATTTTTCAGGGTTTATACAAGGCGTGGATTTTTTAAAGATTCATTTTTCAGGGTTTATACAAGGCGTGGATTTTTTAAAGATTCATTTTTCAGGGTTTATACAAGGCGTGGATTTTTTAAAGATTCATTTTTCAGGGTTTATACAAGGCGTGGATTTTTTAAAGATTCATTTTTCAGGGTTTATACAAGGCGTGGATTTTTTAAAGATTAGATTTTCAGGGCCTATACAAGGCGTGGATTTATTAAATAAATATATAATATAAAAAATATAACAAGAATTTCATTTTTTAAAAAAGAGATAAAGTCATTTTTATTAAATAATATTGAAATGCTTCTAACGTAATTTTTTTTAACGTAATTTATTTTTTTTATGTTATTTAATTTTTTTATCAATATTTTTTTCATGTGATAAAACACGTATTTTGATTTATATTATAAACCAATTCGCCTCAATAAGGTCTTGAAGACGCTGAGGCAAAACATACATATTGTAATAATATATATTTGAAATAATTAATAAATAATAAAAAAAAAGATTAGATTTTCAGGGCCTACACAAGGCGTGGATTTATTAAAGATTAGATTTTCAGGGTCTATATAAGGTGTGGATTTTTTAAAGATTCATTTTTCAGGGTCTGTACAAGGTATGGATTTTTTAAAGATTCATTTTTCAGGGTCTATACAAGGTATGGATTTTTTAAAGATTCATTTTTCAGGGTCTATACAAGGTATGGATTTTTTGAAAAATACTTTTTAGGGTCTATCCCAAACAGGAATTTTTTTGTGGCAATTGTAAAAAAAATCGTTAAAATATCGACGCCTTTAATTTCGTTTGGTTTTTTTATACTCATCAACCTTAATACCACCCTTAAAAGAGCCCATTTGCATTCTATGCATTTGAATTCCAATTAAATATTCAATACTATTCATT